GAAACGTGGGGCAAGCTTATTGTGGATGTATGGATGTAGATTGGGCCAACTGGAAATGCTAAAGATTCGAAGAATGTGATAATTGGGCTTTTAGTGGAAGAGTAATTCTTATGGACTAAGACCATAAAGGGTGGGACTAGGAAGGCAATTAAGTAAATAGGAAGCAGTGGCAAAAGCAAAAGTCCAGTACGGTTAGGGAACAAAGGTATGACTGAGAAGTGCCAGTCCTTTTTCAACAATGGTACGGTGACAACATTCAACAGTGCCATTTTGTGTGTGAGTGTGGGTACAAGTGATACGGTGGTAAATGCCAAGAGATATGAGATCTTTGTGGAAGGAATGAAATTCACCTCCCCAGTCTGATTGAAATGCTCAAATGGAAGAGTTAAAAAAATTATGAATAAGTTGACAAAATTGATGAAAAACAAAGTGGACCTCATCTTTAGTATGGATATGATAAAACCAAATATATCTAGAAAAATCATCAACAAAGTTAACATAATAACGAAAGCCAGTAACAAAGATAATAGGGGATGGACCCTATAAATCACAAAATATTAATTGAAAAGGAAAAGTTGAATGATGTAGGGACATTGGTGATGGTAAACTATGGCTTTTGGAAGACTGGAAAGCATGATAGTGATGTGAGTCACAAGAACTAGAGATGAGAAGAGAATTCTTCTTAACAATGTGATGAACAAGGCGTGTAGCTGGGTGACCAAGACAGCTGGGTGACCAAGACAACTGTGCCAGTGAGATATGGATGTACGTTCACCATAATGAGCTTATGGTGATGAGGAGATAGCAAATGGATACAATGATGTTGACTAGGTCTGTGAAGAAGAACTTTCTTTGTTTTGGCATCCTTCATCAAAAAGCATCAGAGTGAAATTCAAAGAATATGCTATTATCATGACAAAATTTTACAACACATAATAAATTTTTCATAATAAATGGAACCTGTAAAATATTAGAGAGGAGATATTTGCCAGTTGAAGTAGTGATGGTGCTAGAGCCTTAAGTATGAATGGGCATGGGTGAGCCATCACTGTTGCGAACAGCATCAATACCAAGATAAGGAGTAGCAAAAAGGTTGAGGTTAGATAAATCATTTGTTATATGGTGATTTGCACCTGTGTCAGGGTACCAAAGAGAGTCATGGATGGTGGAGTAGTTAGCATAATGTGCTACAAATGAGGGTGGTGGTGGGGCTTGGAGTGATTGGTTGTAGCATTGAGTACAATTGTGAGCAATATGACTATACCAATCATAGAGTTAACAGGGAGTTTCAGAATCAAGCTGAAAGGTAGAAAAGCGACCTCTTACACCATGATAGAAACGACCACAACCTCTGTATTGAATGCCTCTGTTTCCTCGACCACGAGCAAGGGTAGTATACAAATATCGACCACCTCTACAGCATCCTAGAAAAGATTGATAGATAATGGTTGGTGAACGAGAAACATTATTAGCTGTGATTTCAATTGGGAGCTAAATAGAATTTTGATGGGATAGTCGTGCTTCAAATGTGAGAGGGTGACTGAGAATTTCTTTAATGGTAAGAAAGTGACGCTGAGTGGTGATAAAAGTAACAATAGTGTTGAACTTTGGTCCAAGTCCAGCAAGGAGGTAGGTGACAAAGTCATCGTCTGGTACTGGTTTTCCAACTGCTGCAAGAGAGTCAAAGAGTATAGTTGCACGATGGTGGTACTCAGAAATGGATTCTCCTCCTTTCTTGAGAGTTGTGATTTGTTGATGAAGATGAAAAAGACGAGCTTGGGTTTATTGAGAAAACAAAGTATTAAAGGCTAACCATAGAGTTCGAGATTTTTTATGGCGAAGAACTTGTGAAATTAGTTTTTCGGTCAAGGAAGCAATGAGGATAGAAAGAACTAACTGATCTTGTTGAAACCAATGAAGATAGTCACAATTAGGTAAACCAGTAGAGGTTTTGGCTGGAGGTGGTGAAATGGAGCCATCAATATAGCCAAATAATTGTTGACCATATAAATAAGCCATAATCTGAGCTTTTCAGATGAGATAGTTATCCTCAGTAAGTTTGATGGTGATAAAATGATGAAAATTAGGGGGTGAGGATGTTGGCAATGGTGGATATGGTGGGGGTAGTGTTAATGAAGATTCGGTGGTAGAGAAATTGGTTACTGGGGAGCCAGACATCTTGAACGATGTCACTGCTCTGATACCATGCTAAAACAAAATAGACAGAATATAAACTCAACGTTGTTCTATGATTTTTTTCTGTTCAATCAAATAGTGTGCATAAGATCAGCCATATATATAGGGAGGCTATTGCATTAGTATTGTGACACATGTTACATGTGAAATGATCTAGAATAAATAAGGAATGATGAGAGTCACGTGACTTGGGATTCTTTTGTTGCCTTTGAGCTCAAGGTTGCTTTAGTAGTGCATCATGTCATTCGGCACAATGTCAAAAACATTGGGCAGTTCAAGGGATTCACAAAAGCATCTTCTTTCATCCATTTTATGCCTGTTGATGCATTCAACTGTGTGCATGTTATTTAAACTGTTTATTAGAGTATATGCGATAATTCATTCATTGAACATTAACTATCAGGAAGAAGTGTACAAGCTCCCAAAAAAAAATGAAGGTTGTAAATATATGTGTTCATGAATCATGAATACAATTAGTAGCTTTTCACCCCCTAGCCTGTTGAGATTTTTAATGTTTCATAAACTTATTTTTAATTATTATTAAAACATTAATTTTTATGAAAAATAAATAAATAAATTTAAGATATAATTAATTTTATCTAAACTGCAATTCAAGATTTAAGATTATAATTTAAAATAATTTTATGAAACAATTAATCTCAACTATCATAAATGGACTTTATGGTTGAGATAAGAAACTAAGAAGAAGTGGACAGAGGAAAAATGAAAGGAAGCCAACTCCATGTGTCCAACTATGTGTTCAACCAATTTTAATTAACAGCGTTGTTTTGTAGAGATATTATACAATTCATCGAACATTGCTGCTTGGGAAGAAAGTGAACAGTACAATGAAGATGGTAGATATCATCGCACTGTAGAATGATAAACGATTCGTAAACTGGCTTATAGTATGATATGACATGAGGAGGATATTGTTGAAAATAAACAAAACTTGAATAGCATATATCTACATGGTCTATGAAATTCCATTCTTTTATGTTTTATCATTTTTTTTGTTAATTCTCACAAGGATTTTCAATTCTACCAGACCATTTGTGATGGCCTCATATTTAAATTTTTAAGTATTAAGGAATAATTTTACCTCTTAACTTGCTTGAAGGGTCAACTCTATCCTTTAACATTGAATATTTTTTCTTGTCACCCTAATGTTAACTCTCGTTTGTATAAAATATTTGAATTAAGAGTGCCTACTAATCCTTTAAGATAAAATTGATGGATAAAAATGACTCTTAACCCAATATTGTATGATAAAAAATTAAAAAAAATTGAAATTAAGGCTCACTAATGGTGAACAAACAATAAGTTAACGGCAAACTGCAAGGGAGGGAATATTAACATTAAGGGCATAATTGACTTATAATTGAGTTTAGGATGTCTAATGACTTTTTGATTCAAATTAAGAGATAAAAATAACACTTAATCCAATTCTTAAAATTTGATGTAAATTCATAAATTTTTATATATTCAAACAAGATTGCCCAAATCTAACTTTCAGTTAATCCAAACATAATTAAATATTATGTTTGTGGCTAAATATTTCTTTTTATTAAAGATATGTTCAATTTTCTTATTTTTACTCCTTTTAACACACACTCACACACACATCTTGTTGCTCTGTTTAATGGATATTTAAATTTAACATTTGCATCTATTTTTGGTTACCCAAGGCATCCCCACATCGTGAAACTAATTTCTCAAAGAATCTGAACACCATTTAAGTAGCTGTCATCTTTGAAGCAATATTTTTTTCTTATACATACTTTCAGAAATTGAACCCTGAAATGATGGGAGAGGAAGCTGGGAGTTGAGAATAAATATCAATTTGTTTATGAAACGTGAATATTGGACCATAAAGGCATAAATTGTAGTTACGCGCGATCGTGTTTGGGGGTCACCTTTATCTTTGGTCTCCTCTCCTGAACGTTGAACAACACCTGAAGGAGTTCACAGTTGGTATCTTCTGTTCACCAAAAAGGAAGCATGAATTTGAGTTCTATATATAATGAAGAATGCAAGAGTTTTTGATGGAGGACTTTCAACATTGGGAGGTTCCTTTGGTTCAAATGAAAAAGGGATTGCTTCAAAGTGGCCAAATTGTTCTCCTCATGGTCCGCCAATGAGAATATCACATAACGGATTTGCTGATTCAATAGGACAGTGATATTATGAATGTTTTTGAACTTGATATGAAATTGTTTTTGTTAAGTATTAGTTATATGCTATATGCACCGTCTAATGAACTTTTCTAGTAAATATTTTAGTTTAAAATCTTTGACAAAATATTTTCAGGTGTCAAAAATTAATTGAATTCTTTAAAAGAGGAAAAATTTAAAGATTTTAATACGTAGGAATCAACAAATCAAATGAATAATCAAAATACAATGAATCAATTCAAATTAAAAACTATGACCAAATTCAAAACTAATTATAAACTATAAACCTCCAGAATAATTTTTTCTAATTATAATAATTAATCATTTAACAATTCATAATTTTTTTGAATTCTGTACCAAAAAAAATTATTTAAAAAATATCCAATAGTTTGTCATCTTAAATAATAAAGTGAGAATCAAATCCAATAACCACTTAAGAAATTTATTTCATACAAGAACCAATACAAAATGAATTATTATTAAAATAAAAACAATGACTTTTTTTTTTAATGTGACTTGTTATTAATCCTTATTTGTTTGGATAGTTATTGAATATGATTCTCTCATTAATAAAATCAGATTGCTCTATCTTTAATAACTAGTTGAGATTAAAATCTGAAAGTAATTGAGTAATTTGAAAAAAAGTTCTCAAGGGACTTTTCCTTCAATTCATCATTTCACTTCTAATATGTGTACACAAATCGCATGCTCAAGCGCCAAGGCCTAAGAAATAAGCAAAGCATACTTCAGAAATACACCAAAATGCAACCTTCATACAAATGTAGAAACTTACTAAATACGTAGATCCCAAGTATCAAGAAGACATAAACACAAGTGGTGGTTGTTTCATTGGTTTGCAACTCTCATAGCGCCTGAGGTTTGCTGCTAATTTTTGGAGCATTCGGAGACCATCTTCACTTGCACCAGCTCTCCTAATGGTGGCACTCCTCAAAAATCTGGCATTCTCCGTTATAAACTTTAACAGTTCAAAATGGCTTCCAGGATCCTGCAAGTAATGAAGAGTGAACTCCTTCAGATGCAATGAAACACACGGAGGCACATCAAGCACTGGCTCAGGAGGGGATGTAGAACTAGCCGGCTGCTGACCATATACACAAAAAACCATACACAAATAAGTCACAATATAACCAACGTATTACAATCACAAATAAGTTCAAATCTTGCAACCTTAAACGACTCTGAAATTACAAGCTTTTCAAGTATGGGGAAGTTTCGGAGACAGTTCACCATCCTAGTCCACTCACCCGCAACACATTCCAGGTGGGTACAATTGTAAAACATTGGAATATCATCACTAAGTGGCCATATACCCTGGGTGCAATAATGCTGAAACAGACTGAAAATTAGGGAATGAAATCTTAGGAGAAGAAAGAGAAACAGTTTACCCATCATGCGTAATCCATATACCTGATCCAGCCGTAGAAATGTCACATTGGAAAAAGCTGCCGACGGAAATAGAGATTGGGGAACATCTGCAGAGACCAGATGATCAAGTCTTCCAATGTTAAGTGGATTGTAATCGTGAACGGAGAACCAAAATTTTAGTACCAACTCTTTAAGCGAAGCAGAAGCAGAGAGAAGCATTTTCAAACTTTGAAATTCTGGAAAACGAACACTTCTCAAGTGCAAAACTTCAAGCAAAGGCAAATGAACATGAGAAAGAGTACCGACTGTTACTCCACTCAACTTCAAAACCCTAATGTTATTGGTAATGAAAACACTAGGGGGCAACTCAAATTCTCCATAGAACAGTATCAGTTGCAGCTCCAGATGTTCAACTTTATTACTAATCATAGCATTGATCCACTTGCTAATCTTGAGAGGTCTAAAACAATCACGAGGTTTAAAATTGCTAGAATGAATCTCGAGAACAAACTTTTTGACCGACTTCAAATCTACCAATTTGAGCATTTTGTCTACAAATCGATGGAAGAATGGAAGACTCTGAAAGCCTTCAAGGTTAAGGTCAAGAGAGGGAAGGGAAAGCCAGAGTGGCCTCCATCTCCTGGATATGAGGCTTGTGGCAACTGCCTCTTTAGCAGGAAGAAAAGAGAGAATATGGAGAAGCAATGAATCTGGCAAACCACCGATCCTGTCAACCTTTGTCCTTGTTCTGCGCTTTTTGCTTGGGGACCCTACTGTTTGCTCCATGACCTTTAACCCAGGCCTTCAGAGATCTGAAGAAAAAGAATACAAACGAAGAAAACAAAGGAAAAATATTTCCACCTACATTTACTGGTTTAATTATAAGTTATGACTTCTGATATGACATAAATAAATACTTGGGCAGAAAAATATTTATGAAGAAAAGTATGCACGGTGCCACCATCATCCGGCACAACATCAAAAACATTGGGGAGTTCAAGGGATTCATGGATGCATCTTCTTTTGTCACAACCCAAAAACAAAGGTGTGTCTGGCTCGAAATATGAGAAAGCCATATCCCTTAAGCCTCAAAGCTACAAATTTTTTTTTTTATTTTTCATATACATATCATTTAACAAAAGTCAAAACTTTTTATAAAACTTTTGGCAAAGTCTCCCTTATAAATGAGACCTCCCAAATGTTTTATAAAAATAGAATCAATACAATTTAATTGACAGAGTTCTACACTAAACAACGGTCATACAACATGATTCGAGAAATTATAATAGAGTTCTACACGGCACCTATAACTTATGTAGAGCACCTAAAGCAGACCATAATCAGAATACAAGGATGAAATTTGATTCAAGTTAAGATTTATCCAAAAATAATTCTTCATCTTCAAATCAGTGATAAAGCCACTCAATGGTCAACTCAATATATAGGTTCAACTATACTATCTTGAGCCAAAAAATATTTTTTATTTAGTGAATAACATCCCAAAAAAAAAGAAAAAGAAAAAATGTGAATGCATATAACTAATCTCAAGAAATTATATACACAATTGAAAGGAGAATAATTCAATGCAGCATAATCTCTAACTCTTAGAATCGGAAGATTCTAATTAGCATCGTAAATCATCAATCCCTAAATAGAAATAAACAAAAATATCTTAACACTTGTTCTTGGAAAATCAAATAGACTATAATAAATAAAAAAGGGCAACATTTGTTAATTGAAACCAATGGATTTCATTACATCAAATTCAAGAATCACTAGATCAAAATAAATGGAGCTGCTTAACCTTTTTTTTTTTTTTTGGGAAGATGGAACAGAGTTATAGGCACAGAACGTGGCAACGTTTGTGAATTTAATAAAGATAACCACTTAGGATAAGAAGAGCACATATCTCATATATCAAAAAATGATATTCCATACAATACATGACCATATATATGCTCGAATAATGATAACAAAGCAATCAAGTTTCAGTTTTAAGCTACAACATCCATTTTAACCAATTAAGGTTATGTAACTCATTATATTGAATCCATAAAAGAAGAAAAAGAACCATTTGTTTCACATAATCAATTTAAAGGCAACAATTTTTTAAACTCATTCTTTAGCAGGACTGATCAAAATAGATGACAAGCGTGGACACACAGTCTACGAGAGCAACTAACCAAACGCAGCTCGAAGCCCGAAACAAATGTGAACACATAGTCAATAAGAGTAACTAACCAAACGCAACTCGAAGTCACAAATCAAATGTAGACACACAATTCAGGAGGATAACTAACCAAACGCAACTTGAAGTCACAAAATAGACGTGGACACACAGTTCATAATAGTAACTAACAAAACGCAACTTGAAGTCACAAAATAAACATGGGTACGAGAGTCACGGATAACAAACGTGAGAACAGAACTCATGAAAATCAAGCTAGTTAGTCATTAACCATTTACAGCCTAACGGAACTGCCATTAGCAACTAGCGTTTTGAAATCAGTCCCTTAAAAACAATTTTTAAATATACAAGAAAAAATCACTATCGAGATAAAATTTTCTATTCTCAAAATCAAACTTGCATGAACCTTTTAAAACCTCAACTCTTCTCAAAATCACATTTCATATTTTCCTTAAAAAATCCATGCATGACTTCATCAACTAAAACATTTCAAAATATATAAACAATTTTTCGATCCAACAAAACCAATCAAATTTTACATTCAAGAAATTCTTCCACCTTTTTAATCATCCATTAAGCCATAAATCAAGCATCATCAGTATATTAAATAAACAGGAATGTTCAATCATACGATAATTCTAGCTCTTCCTCTAAAAACCAATTAGTATATATATATATATATAGAGTAGTTCCAATCACAATAGCCTATATTAGAATTAAAATTATATCAATATACATGTGAATATGCTTAAATAATATTTGATAAAAAGGAATTTGTGTATAATTTAATTAAGACACTATTTACTTACCTGAAAGAGTTCCCAAATATATAACTTACTTTCAAATTAGCCCCTTTCAACAATTTTCAGTCTTTAAATCCCTATTGCCCCAAGTAACACCATTGTCATTTTCTTTTGTACAATTTATAAACTCAAAATTTCTAGCCCAAACAAGTTTAGAGAGATGGAAAAGAAAATCTCAACATCAATCCTTCACAAATAAAATGCCTTCCTAGGTCTAATAAATAAATCTATGACATAAACACATATAAACAATATTCAATGTTTTTAAATCTTTCCATAGAAAATTTAGAGCTCCTATTATGACTTGTTCAACATTTTCAATCATATTCAAATCCAATTTTCATAATTTTCTTTCCACAAATATTTTATATGCACTCAAAAACTAACTTAAGAACAAACAAACTTGGTCCCTGAATTAGCAACCAAATACTTCTTTCCAAAATTTTCTAACTTCAATACTTAAATTTTCCAAGCTTCCCAAATCACCTTCTCTTCAACACTAGCCAATTCCCATCAAGAATCAATGATCCTAAACATTTTAACAGATTGGTTATGCTTCCCAAACTAATGTCCTTGTCAAAAATCAATTCAAATAAAACTGAGATTCTTCCTAGTCTTTATTTAAGCTTGTTAGAACATCAACCGTTCCCTTACACACGCATAAACGTTGACGCAAAAAGGAATAATCAAAATTTCTGCAACAGCCACAATGAAAAGAGAAGAATTCCAGAATACCTCACATTGAACAAAGAAGAAAGCAAAATTTTAATCAAAGTGTATATAAATACACACACACCAAACTTGATCACTCTATTAATCCAAAAATGCTTCTATCACACAATTTATCAAAAACCTTAAGTGCATCCCAAGATCAAGTCATGAAACCACATCATGGTTTATAAATTATCAACCGTGTCTTCCAGGGCTCTAACAAAGATGAAACTTCAAATTCCTTTCCTCTTTCAGCCACCAAACAACCAACACAAAATGAAGAAGATAAAGAACAAGGCTTTCCATACCAGAGCAGAGGCGTGAACAGAGAAGGAAGAAGAGGAAAATTCCGGTGCTGACTGCTGCAAACGAAGAGGGAAAAGGAAGAACCAACAGTGTCTTCCTCAAAGCGAAGTGCAGCGCGTAGATCCAAGGAGGAGAGGGGATCGCGCGAGGAAAAATGGATAAAGGGTGGATAAATGGCGACGCGCAGAACCAGAGGAAAGGAGAAGAAAATCTCGCTACCTCACGGAACCCCACGACGGCGGGAGAATGGCACACCCACAGTTGCCGGCGATGGCTGCAGACGGAGAAGGAAGGAGAGGACGAAGATGATAATCTGCAGAGTTTTTTTTCTTTTTTTTTTTTTTTAATTGAAGTTCTCCCCCCAAACTGATGTAGAGCTGTAGACCGTCGAATTTGACTGGGGAAGGAAAGAGGAGGAAAAAAATATCTCCGTGCTGTTGAGGGCAAAGTAGTAATGTCATAAATCTGAGCCAAAAATAAAACTCCTCTCTCCATACTCCTTCCGTTTCTATTTATATTAAAAAAAATTATCATTAATTAATTATATTAATTATGTTTAAAAATAAAAAAATTATGAGGAATAGTTTAAAAAAATTTATAATAAATTTTTATTTAAAAATATGATTTTGATTATATGAAAAACAAATAAAAATTAACAGTTTTTTCTATAAATAAAAACTGAGGGATTACACCATCAAGACTCGAACTACGGAGCTAATAGATAAGGCGTCAGCATGATTTCAACTGTGCGTTTCAACGTTGTTTGTCAGAGCATATGTGATAATTCATCGAAGAGTGTTGACGCTAGGGAAGAAGGGTACAAGCACCCAAAAAATTAATGAAGTGCATGCATCCGATCGACTGTGTTAGCGTAAATTTAATAACACTGTCTTACAGAAATATTTACAATATACAATTTATGCAACATTATATTGCTGCTTGGGAAGAAAGTGTAAAGGCACTAAAAAGTAAAGACAATGAAGATGGTAGATATTAGGGCTGTTTGAAACTGTTTTCTTTTATTGTTTTAGGAATTAATATTTTGTAAAATATATTTTGAAAATAAAAAATTAATGAAAATATATTTTTTTTTATTTTTTTTCTTATTCTTCAAAAAAATAATTCTAAAATATCAAAAAATTATTTTTATTTTTCTGTTCTTCAAAACAATGTTTTTTTTCTTTTTTAAAATACTTTTAAAAACACATTATTAAATAAATTTTTTATTTTTTTATTTTAGAGAACAAAAAAACATTAGCAAAACAGGATGCCAAATAGGCCCATCATCAGGCGATAGAGAAGTAATGTGTTTTACAATTCATAGAACCTTAGCATTTGGGACAAACGGAACTATCCCGAAACAAATGAACATGTTAAAAAGAAAATTGCATTGCATTATATAGGATGAAATACTGAGAGTTCTTTGATAGATTTTTCATTTCCCAATATATATCATATTAATGGGGAAAAAAAAAAGCTCTGATGTAAATTATTCGACACCAATAATAAAGCACAGTACTCAACTTCACTAATTTTTATAGAATAGAATATTACTTAATTAAGAGCATGCATGCCTTTGACTTCAACAAAACTTGAGATGAATTAATTTATAGACATACATTGACCTCCACAACACTGTCCGTAGTGCAATTTTACAATACATATGATATGCCATATGACAGCAAACTGATCAATCCTACAAACCAACAAGGGGTAGAACTGAATTTTAAAGACCAATTTTCCTTTTACACCATGGTTCTTTTAGACACCTGTCATTATATATGAGTATATTATATATGGTTCACACTATACACACAATCCCAGTATTAATTCTATAACATTTATCAACTATCTACCATAAAGTATAAAAATTTAAGTATATCTATAGTTATATCTATATATTTTAAAAAAACAATCGATGGTGATGAACTAGCAAGAATCAGCATTAGAATTGATTCTGGACGATGGGTTTCCTGATTGGAGACAGTCATCTAATGCAGGGACTGTTTTAGTCTTCAACTCTCCAAATGCCTTCCAACAGAAAGCACCGTTATTATCAGAGCTCGAACCTAGTTTGCTTGATTGAGGTTGTAGCTGTACAGTGTCTAACGTTAGACCAGTACATGGCGCAGCATCACTACATGCGAACCTCACAGCATCCCTAGAAAAAGTCCCTTTGACGTTAACATAATCGACACCAGACACAGCCACAGCCGATGAAGAATCATTCCCACACTTGCTCTTGTCACAATAGTACTGATCGATCATTATTGGTGTTCCAACCTCTAAGACTTGAATGTCTGAGAATCTGATGTCATGAACTGAGCCTGAACCTCCTTGCCATGTCTTGATTCTAACAGCTGTTAAGGTGTTTTGGAATGTTGTGTCTCTGACAGTGACATTAGAAACACAGGCTCTTGTGTTGTCTTTTCCCAAACCTCCAATACTGATCCCATGACCAGGTCCACAATTGACGTTGTGTATGTATACATTGGAACATCCAGTTTGGATGGACACACAGTCATCTCCTGCGTTATCATGCATTTTATTAACACCAATAATGTTAGTTTAGTCTTGTTATTAGTCTTCTGTGTTTCGCACGTAGTTCATTGGTTTTTGATTATTTTGAGGTTTTGGAAATTACCGCAAGCAAGAGTACTGCTATAGATAACAACGTCTTGAGAATTCTGGAGATGAATGCCATCAGTGTTGGGGCTATCTCCGGGTGAAGAAACGGTAACGGCAGAGACTTGAACGTTAGTGCATGAATCAAACTTGAGATGTGTCTGCTGACTCTGCTGAATGGTTATGCCTGTCACCGTTACACCATTACTTCCATAGAACCTTAGTGCCTACACAAACAAACCAGCACGAATCAGTCAAGCATATATATACATATATATATGAAATAATGTCACTTTTAATTAGTTCCTAGACTTTTGCTCAATTTATCAATATATATATATATGTGCACTAAATTATATACAAAATCAAAAAGCAATAAGTAGCAGACAAAGGTTCTTCCAATCAAGAAATTATAATGATTAGGTTATTATGAGTGAAAAAGTTCAAGTGGCTCCCCCAAATTTTTTTAATATTATATAGATGCTATATAAACATCCCAAAGCTTTGTATTATTTATGCTTTTTAGTCTCTGCCCCTGAACTAATCAATAATTAATTATCAAGAGTTATTTGATGGTCTTGATGAGATTGTAATTCGTGAATTACCGTTGGTTTTGTGGATGGCAATCCTGAGCGACGATTCCACCAGACAGAGCCTTGGCCATCAAGCACTCCTTTGCCTTTGATTGTAAACTTGTTAAGCTCTTTGAACTCAAGCCATTGCAACGTTCCTGAGCCCCACGCTGAAGCGCTTGTTGGTGCGATGATCTTTCCATCCACCTGTGTTCATCATGTGCATAATTTAGTTTAATTTATTAATTCCACACCAAAAACGAACAACAATTAATTAATTAATTATTAATTTGAGCAATTAGCTTGTCAATATTTTCGACTAGAATGGAATAGAGGATGATGCAAAACCTGAAAAACGATATTAGGCTGACAGGTTTGGCCTTGGAAGGAGACTATTTTCACGAGAAACACGGACCCTGATGGAACCAAAACCGTTGCTCCCGCCACGTTGCAAGCTGCTCCCCATGCTTGTTCAAATGCCTTTTTTCATATTTCACAGTTAACGAAATAATTAAAAAAATTAGTAAAAATTTCAAAAGTATAAGGAAGAAAAGTGTATATTTTCCACTAAAAAAATCATTCAGGCACGGCTAAAGGAATGAGAATTATTAAAATCCCAAGACCAAGTGGCTAATATAATTAATATTCCGGGCAAAAAAAAAATAGCGGCTGATTAAAAAAAAAACACACACACACACACTAAAGAGATTGTATGTGTTCAAGTGTGAAATAAAAATATATATTTGGTTAATCAATGTATTGAGGTTAAAGGAGCAGACTTTGGCTTTTTAAATAGAGCTGATAACTAGCTAATTCACATGTGGAAGAAACATCTGACTTTATAAATTTCTAACTTCATGATATGGAATGCCTATCTATGTCTATATTATTCTGTCTCGTGCACTGCCATCGCTCTCTAATCTATTTATGTGAAATGACACCAAAACAAATATACATCAGAATTGGAGGCCATCCTCCAACACACGAGGATGCAAATTGCTTAGGATTTTTATAATCATGTCATATATATATATAGAGAGAGAGAGAGAGATGATTTGTATATGTGTAACTTTATACATGTGTAATAATAACTTGTAGCGGCAACTGTTGTAAGGTTATGGTCGATGGACCAATTAAAAGTAAGATGCATGAAACTTACGGTTATGGCAAGTCAATCAAAAACTATAGAATTAATTGTAAATTTGAGAGAAAATAAGAATAAAGAACAAAAATATATTATGTTAAATTTTTCCAAAAAAGAAAAAAACACGTCCTAACCTTTGTATCATCTGCTTTTCCATCACCTTTAGCACCATAGTCTAACACATTAAAAGTGGAAGACCCAGAGGCTGCTTCGAGTTTTCTCCAATATGACCTGATCATGTCTACTCCTTCTCTGCCATTACAGGTTTCAAAGCTTGAACGCCACACACAAATCACAATAAAAAATATCAATCTAAAAGAGTTTAGGTTGATAATAAACTTCATTTTGAATAGAGAAATATTTTAAGAGATTGCAAAGTACAAGCTTATAATTAGATAGGCTTGTCTTTGTATGGTTCAGAGAAGATCAGAAATGGTGATCTATTTATAGACCAAGTATTTTACACTGTGCTATCATGAACTGTACAGTATTCATGCCATTTTGACGTTTCAGTTACATATATAAGTCTATGGAGACTGATAAACATTGATTATATTCCTTTTCCTTTTTTTTTTAATTCTAGATTTGGTTCACAAGCTGTCATTACTTGCATGACGTGCCATGTATGCTTTCTTAGGATAGTATTAATTAATTATGGGAATTATAAGGTCAATAAGGCCGTAGTCAGATTATGTGGGTAGAATATTCAAGGAGACACTATCCCTTTAATTAAGCCATTCATGTTTGTTCAATTTGAACTCAAGAAAAAAAAATAGTATTGAATTAATGAATTTTGAGTAAATATTATCAGAGAAGTTTACACCGACCTTTATTGAATTTTGTTAAAATTGATTAGATTTCTCCATTTTCTAATTTTATATTAGTTTAAAAACATGATCAAATTTTCTAATTTTTCTTAAGGTATAGGAGTCTAATTTCCCTTGTGTATTGAAGGCAAAGATAAATTCCTCTTAACTAGGATGTTGCGCAATCTTTCTAACTTTTTTTCTAATTTTTCTAAAAATTACATATACC